TTCCTTCTGCTGCAGGGATGCCCACTGCTGCCCACCCAAGATCCCAGGGCCTCCTCCCTGTGAGGCTCCTTCTCTCCTGTGGGCAGGCAGAGGCCCAGGACTCAACGGGGTATTCACTAAGGGACCTGGATTCCAACCCTAACATCCCAGGAGAAACCCATTAGAACTGGGAGAGTCTTGCCATCATGGAGTCTGTGGAGGCAGCGTGTCCTGTTCACATTTCCTTGAAGGGGTGACTCCACTCCTAGGTGGCCCTGTGACCTCAGCACCTTCCCTAACCTAACGTGCCCCTGCTGTCACCGGCCCACACCTCCCAAGGCTGCCCCGGGAAGGGTCTCTAGTCGATCCCCTACATATTTACTTTTTTTTATTGGACCCGTGGGCAAAGCAAGGACCTGCGCTCATCATGGGTCTGGGCTTGCGGGCTGCAGGGAGGGGTGGGGAGTGCGAGAGGCACTCTGGGCCTGCCCTCCTGAGCCACACGGATTGTCACCTGCTAGGTCTGGCTCCAGCCCTGATGAGCGCAGCCTGGCTCAGGGGAAGGATTCCTGCTCTTGGTCAGGAAAATGGGGCCTGGGTCCTTCATCTAGGCGTCTGAGGACCCTACCACTCTAACCCTTTAGAACAGGGGGAGAGGGGAGCCTTCTTTCTACCAAGGGCCATTGGATATTTATAACATCATTTGCGGGCCATACAAAATTATCAACTTAAAAATTAGCCTGCTTAGCCAGCTTTGCTCAGTGGATAGAGCATCAGCCTGAGAACAGTAGGATCCCAGGTTGTGGGCTTGATCCCTAGTAGGGATGTGCTGGAGGCAGCCAATCAATGAGTCTCTCTCATCATTGATGTTTCTAACTCTCTCCCTTTCCCTTCCTCTCTGAAATCAATACAAATATATATATATAAAATTTAAAAATTAGCCTGCAAACACTTGGTCAAACACTTCATTAACTCACCCCTAATGCCTTGGCAGGGCTAGACCGGATGATTTTGCGGGCCTGGCCGGACGTTCCCTGCCCTGCGTTAGGATCTTGGAGAGCACTTCACTTAGCAGCACTTGATATGAGGGAGAGGAAGGCACCCTCAGGGAATAAATTCCTGACTTCCTTTCCCATCTCAGAGACATATTACAGGCATCTCTCATTTAATCCTCACAGCAACTCTTTTAGGTTTCTACATTATCTCCATTTTACAGTTGAGTAGACCCAAGCTCAGGGATGGTCCAGAAAGACATGGCCAGAAGGACAGAGCCCGGATTTTAAACAGCCGTGTCCAACCACAGCCCACGATCTCAACCACCATTGATATATCACGTCTTAGGAAAGGTTCACTGGCAAGAAATTGAGGGATGATGGAGACAGATGGAAGCATCCAGAAAGTGAGGCCTCCTCCACCCCCTTCCAGTCCTTCCCCTCTCCTCTCCGAATCACAATATTGGACAATTTATGCTCATCACTGGAAAATCAATGTGCGAACAACACATGCTCCCTTGCTCCAGGGCTGGGCTCCCTCAGGCCCTCGTGTTCGATTTATTTATAATCTGACTTGGAAGTAAAAAGGCAAAGCTGTCCTTGGAGACCACTTGGCTCATGCGCTCCAAGTTCTAGCATCGCCTCGGCTTTGCAGCGCTGAGCCTGGGCAGAGGTACCAGCCAAGCCGGCATCTGCTTGGCTCTCCCTGGCCGCTCAGCAGCGAAGGCTGGTCCCAGCGTGGGCTTCCGTGGGCTCCTCTGTCAAACAGATGCCGTGAAACATCATGCTCCCGTCCAGCTGCACAGTCAGCCCATAAAGGGCACATCCCCACGGGCTGGCTGGGCCGGCTGCACGCTTGGCTTCCTCATACGTGTTGTGTGTGTGGTGTGTGTGAGTGGACAGACTGTCCTCCACCAGAGTCACCCAGAGCCCTGTCCTACACATGGACTCACGTGGAGGAGCACGTTTCAAAGCTAATTACTGCCTTTCCCGCTCACCGAGTGTTAGTTAGCATGCTTGTCCATGTTACTTCTATTTTTGTTCCCATATGTGATAGGGGGACTGACTTGAAAAAAATGCTCAAACAACAGGGATTCTTTAAATACATGAGTCAAAGTTGCCTACAAAATCACACACACACATGTGCATGTACACACACACACACACACACACACACACACGGCAGAGGAATGGGTGTTGCAACAGGAAGGAATATAGAGAATCTAGGCATCCTCTCCCTGCGGCAATAAAAGAAGAAGAAAAGCCTCCTTCATCCTCTTATTTCGTTTACTAACTGCGGTGCTGAGAAGAATTATAATTGGGGAAAAAGGTTAGTGTTGGTCCAGCTGAGAAAAGTGACCTTTCGCCAGCTAGTTCTTTATGTTTTTCTGACGCGGGCACTGAGGGAGCCTTTCTGGAAGGCGGGTGGCATTTTTTGTTTTTTTTATTTTATTTTTTTGCTATTCAAGGTGACATTATGCCTTGAACCTTTTCCATTTGGCAGGTGCCAGGAAGCTGACAGAAAAGGATCTTCAACCAGTTATGCAACCATTCTCTGCTCAGCACACGAGAGCAGGGGAGCAGCTGATTAAAAACAACCCTGTGAGGACCCACTCTGTGCCACCGGCTGTGCGGGGCCCTGGGACCCGCGGGCAGCGGGACAGACGTGCCCTCTGGCCTCCTGGGGAGCTGGACAGTGAGCCATTATTACAAATGGGGCCAGGCCCCAGGGAGCTGGCTCCCAGAGCCTCCGGCAGGGGCTCTCATCTGAGGGAGGGTCTCGAGGAGGCCTCCTGGGGAGGATGTGTCAGCTGAGACACGATGGGGGAAGGGGCTCACTAGGAAGAGGAGGAGAGCTTCCAGCGGGGGGAGAGAGAGAGAGAGAGAGAGAGAGAGAGAGAGAGAGAGAGAGAGAGAGAGAGAGAGAGAGAGCAAGCGAGCAGTCAGATGGGAGCAGCTCCGGCCGGAAAGAGGCCTGCAAGGGAGGTCAGGGTGGAGATGGCAGAGTGAGGTGAGACGAAACCAGAGAGAAATGCAGGACCGGCACTCGCTCTGCGGAAGTATCCTGTACTGTCTCCTAAGAAGCAGGGGTGTCATGAAAGGCTGAAGACCCAGGCAGTGCCACACTGGCCCCTTGGCTACTGTGCGGGCAGCTGACTGTGGAGCAGGAGTGACGGCTGAGAGAGCCCAGGGAGGGGCCGTCGCGATGGGCCAGGCAGGAGACATGGTGAGCTGAATTGGGGGGTGACACAGTGGGATGGGGATGGGAGGCTTTAGGGGGCGGGCTGGGTAGAACTTGGGGATGGAGTTGTCGAAGTGGTGGGACTAGGGCGAGGAAGGAGCTGGGTGACTCAGCTCCAGGACAAGGGATGCCTTTCCCGGGACAGAGGCCCGAGAGGAGAGGCCGGAGGAGACGAGGGCGGAGCCTGAGGCTGGTGTGGGCCAGTTGGAAGAAAGCAAAAGATTGGTTCAAAGAATCCTTAAAGCAGTAGAAAATTACAGCATATCATCTCTAGGGTTGGTCAAGCGTACTTTCAAAATGTCATTATTTTAATTATGGAAAGGGCTTCTCAAAAATAAATAAATAATAAATAAAGCCGGCCTTTGCTCCCAGGTGGAAGAGACTCATTCAGCTGTTACATGAGAACAGCTCCACAGAATGTGGTGCTTGCAGCTTATTAGGTCAGGTTGGCTGGTTTCTCCATAATTACTTTAAATGTGCATCCTCTGAGGAATTTCACTTCAAACCTAAACAGCCCCTGACACCTCAAGTCCAGGTTCCACGGCTCAGGCCTGACCCTCGGTCCAGGAGATAAAATGAACGAGTGAATACCAGAGAGGCAAAGGGCACCACCTACCAGCGTGGACAAGGCCTGGCTATGCCAGGTCGTCCTTCGCTGTCTATGGAAAGCACCCAGAGCAAGCCATCGCTACCATGGTAACGGTGCTGGGAAGGATAGGGCGGCTGTCGTGGACAAGATGAGGATTGCACCCACGAGCCAAGGAAACGTGAGCTTCCTTAGTTAAGTATGGCCACTCAGCGCTCAGTGCTGAAAACACTTGTCAAAACACCCAAATGAAGAAATAGGCGGAAGCCCATTGGTGCTGGTCTCCAACGAGGCTAACCCAAATGAAAACTTTCCTGCGGCCAGGCTAAAACAGGCTGTTGCCGAAACCGGTTTGGCTCAGTGGATAGAGCGTCGGACTGCGGACTGAAAGGTCCCGGGTTCGATTCCGGCCAAGGGCATGTACCTTGGTTGCGGGCACATCCCCTGTGGGGGGTGTGCAAGAGGCAGCTGATTGATGATTCTCTCTCATCGATGTTTCTAACTCTTTATCCCCCTCTCCTCTGTAAAAAATCAATAAAATATATATATATTTAAAAATAAATAAATAAATAAATAAATAAATAAAACAAGCTGTTGATATTTTTTTTAAAAGAGTGTTTTCCAAATTAAGTCTGGATTTAGGTCCTAGTTGAATTTAAATTTAATTGAACAGGAGAGAGATGTACCTCTAAACATAATATTGTGAAGATAGCTTTTCCGTTTCGGCACTCACCACCTCCCACTACACATGTACTACGATGCCAGGATAAAACCCACCCACCCTCTGAAATATGCAGCACATGCTCCGTGTATTGTGTTATGTAATTCATGCTTTGGCTTTGAAATGCTTATTAAGAAAACTGTTCAGGGACTTTATTTTTTTAGTGACAAGTTTCTAATGATCCAGCTACTAGATTCAAAATTAAAGCAGGCTTATGGATATTAATTACTGTTAATTTGGTGGCAACTGGGGCTTTCAAAGATGTTTTGTCTGTTTTTCTTGCTTGGAAATCTAGGAGGGACCTTGAAATTAGGCTCTTCGTTATTTTCGTCAATAATTAGTTGCCAGAGCCAAAAGTATTTGTGCAAGACCAGTGCACAGAATATAAGAACCCAGTGCAAAGTATGAAGGAGGAAAAAAATAACAACACAAAAACGAACAGCAGGAAAAAGCGCTACAGGACAGCTATGCTGGCGGTACCTTATTTGACTTCCCTCGTTGTTCATCACGAAGAACCAGCGAAACTTCACAGTCAGTGGGCTGCAGTTGGTGATGGGAACGTAGCGGATCACCTCAGTGTCATTCAGGATACAGCCAAAATCCAGGTCCATGGTCTCAAACTTCAGGTTGGGGTAATGCACTTCCCCACGCAGGCTCAGGTTGTCTACCTGAGGGTGCTCCAGGTACCTGATCGCTAGAATTTCTTCTGCCACCCAGTTGTTCAGATCGCGTTTGTGGGTAGGATCAAATTTGATCAGAAGATTTTTTTCTTCATCAATCTCCAGCTTAATAGGCTGCAAATAAGATTAGGGGAAATTACCAACCTTTGTACTATGCATTTCCAACCTGATACATGAAACAGGATGGCCAACGTTATTTAAATACATTTATGTACATACATCCATATATCACTTTATTTGTCCATAATTAGGTATCCCCACTTACACGATTAAATAGCTAGTATATTTATATTGATATCAATAGTTATCTATATTTATCAATATTATAGATATTTATATGTGCGTGCATACATATTTTATTAGTTGAAAATGAAACCAAGGAAAATCTGGAGAGGGGATTGTTTGAGGGAAGAGATTTTGATAAGAGTTGCAAGGTAATAAAGTTTGAGTTGTAAAAAGGAAAATCTACAATGAATAGCCATTATAAAAATATTCTTACCTGAAAATAAATTAGATTGCAAAATGCTCTTCCCAGGCAATGGGAAAAGTTCTTTGCTTAAGCATTTCAGAAAGGCTCACTAAAGCGAGGGGGAGGGTCTCCGTAGAGGATGACCCAGAAAGGGTCGGATTGGGTATTTTCTTTTTTGATGTCTGTGATCCTAACTCTTCAGCACAGGGTTATCTACTCTCTGCTGTTTTCTGGTCAACTTCAAACGACACTCAGGAGCTGTGCTGAGTTTGCTGGGTAGATTTCCCTTGTTCTTTTTCTCTTTGATTCAAATCCCCATGTGTTCCTTGATGCCAAGGCCACAGTAACACCTTCCCATAGGAAGCCTGGCTATAAGTTGGTTTTTTTTTAAAGGGATCACTCGATTCCCACATTTAACTGGCATAAAAGCCACCTCCTGGTTTTGCAGCAAGTGCCCGGAGGTAGTCGGGAGGAATGTACACAGGGCGAATCTGTTTACAGAGCTTTCCCTCTCCACCGAGTTTCAAGCTTCAGTTATTTAACTGTGTGCATCGGTGCATGGTTAGATGGTTCCAGGTGATACTGCCAATCACCTGATCCAAGAGTCAGAAAGAGGGTAATGGCTCTTCAGTTGGCTAATTCCATCTGAAAGCCTGGCTGGCCGCTTGGCACAGTTGGCTGGGCACAATTCAGACCATAATGTAGACAATGGCATCTGTAGCACTTGGTACCTCCATGCTTGGTGTTTAAGAATCTTTGAAGATTGACTTAAACACCTCCCCCCCTGCCCCCGAGAAATTACTTTTTTTGTTTTGTGGAAAAGATACATATCCACAAAATTTTATATTATATATTAAAGCACAAAGAAGTTAGAAACTTATCCAAAATTTCACCATATATTATTTCTCAGAGTTCATACTTGATACGCATCAGTCCAGACATAACGGATGACTACTAACAAAAATTTACAAAAATAGAGTTAGATTCATTTATTTCAAAATATCATGTTTGAATTTTTTTCTCAGAAAGAAGCCTGAAAGAAATCTTATACAAGACAGACTAATCCTAAAATCATGGAGTCTGGAGCCTGATGGTGTGGCATCAAATCCTGGCCTGCTGGTTACTAGCTCTATGAATTTGGGCAACGTTATTTGGTTTTCCTAGACCTCAGTTTCTCCATTTGTAAAATAGGGTCAAGAACAGGACCTACCCCTTTTTAAGAGAATGAAATGAATCAATATACATGTGATGTCTTCAGAGCAGTGCTTACCGTATATAAATGCCAAATATTACTATTATTGTTACCCCTTTATGATCAATAAAAAATACAGCTAAATATTAAGCAGTTTCATCTTTAGATAGTATCTTATTGACACCTAGCTATAAAGAGGATGAAGTCAGCTAATGCTTACCCCATCTCCCAGTTGTTTTTGGTTGTAGTGCTAATTTAAAAAAGCCAACCTATGTATCATATATGCAATAACCAGGAACTAAACTCATAACCTTTTTGGTATACGGGCAATTGCTCCACCCAACTGAGCTATCCAGGCAGGTCTGGGCATTTAAAATTCTGATAGCTACTATTGTCTCCCAATATACACTTCACCAACACTATAGAGGAATCCATGTTTCCATATGTCCTTTGTAATACCAAACACTATCCAATCTTTATTCTTTGCTAATCTGATAGGAGAAAAATGTGCTTTGTAGTAATTTTAATTTGCATTTCTTCTACTATGATTAAAATTGAGCATATTTCCATTTACTTAAGAGCTATTTTTCCTTTTTTGGGACCCTCTGTTCATTTCCTTTGCCTAATTTTCCATGGTGTTATTGGTATTTTTTTTAATTGATTTATAGAAGTTCTTCATTTTTTAAAGTATATGTATGTTTTAACTATAGTGATACATGCAAATAATATAAAAGGCCAAATTGTACTACAAGAGTTATGACAAGAAACAGTAGTTTCTGACCCACCCTGGCCTCCCAACAATCCGGAGGTGGCCATTTCTCAATTCTTGTGGTAGGGCTGGTCTGCAGAACAGGTTCTGGGCTGAGAGGGATGATCAGGCAGTGGACACACCCCAGAGACCTGGGGTTACTCTGCGGTGCTGACACTCACACGAGAAACATTAACTTTCCCCAAACATTCTGATTGGTTGCTCTAGGGAAGCAACAAACATTCTGATTGGTTGCTTATTTACCTTTATGGCTTAAGATAAAAGCCAGCTGCCCATGTCTTTTGCGTGGGGTCTGCTGGGATAGCTGTCCGGTGCGACAGCTGCCCGGTGCACATCCTTCTATTTTCAATGCTCTGCTCACACTTGTTGCCTCTGCACCCAGGCTACTGGGCTGAATGACTGCCACGTGTTTGCAGCCTCAATGGAGAATTTTCCAGGCTGCAGGTTTTTGTGGCTTTTTGTCAACCCACCCGATTGTCATTCTAGCATCTAGAATTTGCTTAAAGCTCTCAACATTTGGTTACACCATTCTCTCCCCCCTTTATTTTATTGCTCTGGGCTTCTTTCATTTTGAATATTTCTACTTTTATCTTATTAAGACTTCAGGAGGGACAGGAGTGTGTCTAATCTACCCAGAATGAGAACGCTGCTCATGTCTGAATTTTCCTTTTCCCATCTGCTTGTTTTCCTGGGCTCTGTTGAGTTCACTCCTCAGCTCTTTGAACACTTGTATCTCATCCTTGAGCTCTTTCTAAAGACTGGTCATGCCATCTGTAATTTCTTTGAGGCTGAAGAGGATTACATGTCATACTTTTGGTCTTCTTCTTTGCCTAGGTCTCCTTGTAGTAGATTTTCACCTGTCTCTTGCTTATGATCATCTTCTTCTATTTCTCTGTTCGAGGATCTTAGCTGTTTTCCCCCCAGCTCATGCTTGAACAAGATTCACCAAAGAATTGGTGGGGAGGGGTAAGGGAGAGCAGCAGAGCAGTTTACAGCTACAAGTCAGGTACCATCTGCAATACCCTCTGACTAAGTGGTTCTGTTCCCCACTTCTCCCAACCATCCATCTCCCCCCACCCTCCCTCCGTGCGGCTCATAGCAAATCTCAAGTCTCCCTGTTCGGAGATGTGGCGATTATTGCCTGCCCTGCCTTCCTCCTTCACATCACTTCTTCAGCTGATGGTGTAGGTCTGGTCTCTCTTCAGTCTTTTCTGACAGCTCTGCTGTCACGCTTACCCCATGGCCCAGGCACTCCCACCAGTGTCCTCATGCCCGGCAAAGGGTCGCAGGGATGATCTTACAGGGATGTGGAGAGAACACTGCATCCTGCCCCAGACTGGTGGCCTGGTGAGCTCTGTCTTCTCGGCAACTGGAGATAGGCTGGCTGATTTAAAGACTGGGCTTTGGCTATTTCCTGGTTTCCTTGAGGATGGAGTTTGGGTCAAATTTGAGGGAGGGGAATTGAAAGATTTTGACTATCCTTAGTGTGAAGTCACTGTTTTCTAAAGATGAGCCTTGTTACAATGAAAGGGTCATCATAATGAGCCAGAAGTTCTTACACCATTAATAGCAGATGTTCTACTTAGAGACAGTAGAATTTATTTAGGACTCATTTAAGATTCTCTATTATTCCCTCACTGTTTTCTGAATTCTTTTTTTTTTTTTCTGGACTGAAATTAGTGTACTGATGTCATTCTCACACACACACACACACACACACACACACACACACACGTGCCCCTCCCCCGCTCCCTCCAGGACCATGGTAGGACCATCCTCCCTCAGTTACCTCTGGAGTTAGGGGCAATGGCGATCTCTCCGTGTCACAGATGAAGAAGGGTTTGTTTGTTGAGAGCAACACGTTCACGGGCAGCGTGGAAATGTTCTTCATGACCAACGGCTGGTACTCAGGTTGCAAGATAGTCTGTGGTGTCTGTAAAAACAAGGAGAAAGAGGCAGCAAACTAAGTTATGACAAACAGTAAGGCTAGAGCAGCAAAAGTCTTATATATATCTGAGCATTCACAGACATAAAGACATGAGCATATGCTTTTATTCTCTTGGAGAGACTGAGAGAAATCATTTGGAATGCATGGTGGACTACTGAGAAGTGAGACTATATAAATAAGAAACCAGATTAAATTTCTTACTCTCCTGTCGTCTAGTTAAAAACATGCCGGTATAAGCCATGCCTCTGGATGGAACTATTACTATAGAAATTTCCACAATGTCATAAAGCAAGCTAAGAAATTAGTGATATCTTGTACAAGAACCCATGTATCACTCTAATGGATAAAACTTTTATTCCCTTTACAATATTTTTTCCCATGCTCAAAACACTCAATTGCGAATATGCTTACCTTATTAAATTGACAAATGCTATAACACTTTAACTTTTTCCTTGCTAACTCTGATTTAGAAGCATCTTTTTACTCTGTCGAACATCCAATTTAATTTTTCAACTGGAGAAAATATTGGAAATGGGTTCTGAGCTGCATGTTGCTGTTCAGACTGAATTTTTCTCATTCTGAGGTTGGGGTCACCTTATTTCTTGCGTGCTCTGGAAAGAGGGTCCTTTGATACCAGCAGAAGGTAACCTGAAGCCTCAATCTGTGGCCTCCAAACAGAACCTCCTTCTAATCATCCCTGGGCTCTTCTAACAACTCCAGCCGGGTTTTCTCAGTTCTTTTTATTTTATTGCTGACAGTATTACAGATGCTCCTCAAATCCTCCTTCCTCTTTGCGCCTACCACCCAGTCCCCACTACCTTCATACCTACCTCCCGCCATCATTCCACTACTGTCTGTGTCCATGGTCTATGCATATATGCATATCTATTCTTTGGTTGATTTGCTTTTTCCTCCTTGTTCTGATTTCAGTTAAATCTTCCTGTTTCCACATTTTCATCTGACTTGTGTCTCTGATCACCATAACCTTCCACTGTGGTTCTTGGATCCCTTGGCTCTGGGCGAGCTCATGTGATCAGCATCCATTGTGCCTTAGTTCAGGTGCTATACCAAATATGTAGAGGGTGGCTTAAACAGCAGACATTTATGTCTCACAATCTGGAGACTGGGAAGTCCAAAATCAAGGTGCCAGCAGATCTGGTGTGTGGGGAGAGCTTGCTTCCTGGCTTGTAGATGGCCATCTTCTCACTGTGTCCTTACATTCCTGACAGAGAGATTCTCTCTCATGTCTCTTCTTCTAAGGACACTAACTCCATTCATAAAGGCTCCATCCCTCTTCATGACCTAATCACCCCCCAAAGGCTCCACATCCAACACCATCACATTGTGGATTAGGGCTTCAGTATATAAATTTGGGGAGACACAGCCATTCAGTCCAGACGATTGGCTCAAGCCTCCTGCCTCAGTTGTGATCCACTGGCCTCTGGTACTTACCATGAGATGCCAACCATGGTTTCCCTCCCTCTAACACGCTAATACAGGTGCTGGACTCACCCTGCATTTGCAGATGGCATTCTCCAGTTTGGGGGAGGGATAAACCGGCACTTGAGGGTCATCAACGGCCGGGTGGGGAACTGTCTACCCAGTGACCTTCCCCCAGGCTGCTGTGTCACTACAGGTAGCTTTGAAGCGAAGAAGCCACACTTGTTTGGTTGCGGCAAGAGGCCATTTAGAGGTCAGTGATGAGAAGGAGGTGATGCACAGAGAACTCGTTCTATTTTAAAATGACCCCTTTCTCTCCGGGTTGTCTGTCTCCCCAGACAGCAGGAGACGGGATTTGCTGCTGGACTTCATGAAGCAAACTGGCTGCTGGTTTCCACTGACCTTTTCAATTCCGCAAAGATGTGGTTTCATCTCTGCGGCGTATGAATGGTACAATAGTTAGAAAGTAGATCATATCTGAGGAAACGGTCCTAGAAAAATGCTTCCCATAGGGCAGTGTGGGTGTCATTATGGTCTCATGTGCTAAGTCAGATACGCTGCCTTGATCTGAAAATAGGAGACAGACTCGATAATTGGGTGTTATATAAGTACACCTGAATACTGAGCCTGAACAGGTCTCTTGCACACGCTGGGTAATGAAGTTGCAATTCTTCATTGTCCCTGGCGTGGATTAAATGTGGGCAGGAAATGAACAATGAAGACTAGCAGGAGCTGGACAGATTTCAAACTTGTAATATTTGGGTGGAAGGAGAGAAGGATAAAATCAAACAGGGAGCTGTGACTCAGTTCCTTTTTGTAATTCAATAAGTCACTGCCATATTAAAGTATTTGCTATTTTATTTGAGTGATAAAGTCCAATAATAAACATTTAAACAAGAATATGCTTAAAAAAAAACACACACACACACCAAGGATGAAGGATATAAAGAGAATAAAAGGAACATGATCCACACATTTTAAAAAAATATATTTTATTGATTTTTAACAGAGAGGAAGAGAGAGGGATAGAGAGTTAGAAACATCAATGAGAGAGAATCATTGATCAACTGCCTCCTGCACACCTCCCACTGGGGATGTGCCTGCAACCCAGGTACATGCCCTTGACTGGAATCAAACCTGGGACCTTTCAGTCCGCAGACCGACGCTCTATCCACTGAGCCAAACCAGTTTCGGCGATCCACACATTTTTATGCGTGTTTATGGGCTTAGAAAAAAATCTAATAAGAAACAAAGCTGCATGTCTAACATACACTACAATGTCTTTTGCAGAATAGCTATTCAATAAATATTCACTGAATTTTCACTCAGTAGCTACATTCAGAGAAAGTATGATGCCACCAAATTTGGTGCAGATGCCACCAACAAATTGCTTATAACAGGAAGATTTAAAACAGAGCAATGAAAGCTTAATAGCTATAGCAGAGACTCTTGTAGTATTTTCCTTTTATATGTCTCACGGAGCTCATCACAGTTAGCTTAGCATCCTGTAACTGAAACCCTTATTCTACTTCCTCAGTGTCTACTTTCCCCAGTAGTCCGTTAAGCCTGGGATTTTGTGGTGTCTTTGCTACTTCATACACCGTAAATGCCCCAAAATTATTTGTTTATTTGAACTTGTACATTTCTACTCCCTTCCTCAATTACACACCCCTTATTCATCTCCAGAAGAGTGCCATGCCCGTGGTGGGTGCTCAATAGATATTTACTTAATACAAACAAAGTATGATGGAACCCACTCCTAGAATAAATGGTCTTGGCCATTCCCCTGCTAGCCTCCAGAGAATGAAAGGAACTCTGATGGATGCCCTCCCTGACTGATTAGGCATTGCCACACCCAGCCCTTTCAGCAGAGATCACACTGTAGGACAATGTACTTTATACTTCATCTTCCCAGCTGGCTGTGTAGTTCATCAGGGTGGGACTAGCCTCACTGTTGTACCCCTAGCAGCCGACTCAGTGCTTGGCGCACATAGTAGGACTTAATACATATTCCACTCAGCAGCCAGCGTGACTGTTTCAATGAATAAATTTGACCATGTCAGTCCCCTCCCTGAAGCCTGCCAATGGCCTCCCAGAACATGCCTCCCAGTCATGCCACACTCATGGGCCCCCTTCCCCACTTTTCTTGATGGACCTTATGTCTCTCTTGGCATATTCTAGGTCTAAGGCAGCCTTTCAGTTTTTCATTTCCTCACCAAGCTCTTTCCTGACTCGGCCCTTCCTGTGTGCTTTCTGCCTAATTCTCTCCCTGCCTCTTGTCACCAAACTAACTTCAGATTTCCTTCAAGTCTCAACCCGAGGCACTTGTTCAAGGAAGCCAGCTGTCACCACAGGTACAAATAAAACCACTCTCCTGATAGGTGCTCTCATAGCAACTTACACCTCTTCTTCACAGCACTGATTAGAATTGTAATTTAAACGACTAAATGTTAGTAATTGGCTTACAGTTGTAACCTCAACCAGTCTCATAGCTTTAACTGTGTCTCCCTGGTTCACCAGGTCATCAGCACTAACTCACTCTCTGGCACGACCTGCTCTGAATGTTAAAAAAATCCCACAATGGAAGTCAAGTTCTACTGTGATGCCTCCCTCACCTTCTCTCTGTCCTGGCCCCTGCCCTGAGCAGCAGTCATTCCCAACATTCCCCTGTTTCCTAACAAACCCCTTCCCTTTATTGCTCGCCCTTGATGGCCATATAAAGTCATGGGCATTTAGAGCCATACACTTAAACATGGGAGTCATAGTGGGCTATTCTCAGTGCTGGTTGATCCACATAATAACTTGAATCTCGGTCTCCTCATGTGTGTCATGGGAATGATAACAGAACCCACAACACAGACCGTGGTGAGGAACAACTGGGCAAATGTATGTAATGAACCAGCACAAACCAATCAACATGGTGGAGCTGTTCTTTCTGATGATTATGATTATCAATAATTCCAGTCCAATCCTTTCTATACTGTGATGTTTACTTTTTCTAACTAGAGTAAAAGGATAGACCACAGTGCACTGGAATAAATAGCCCTTCACTTTGGCCTTGTACATCAGGAATGATGGGAGCAGAATTTCTGTCGCAATTTACATTTCAGAGGAATGTAGGTTCAGGTTCAGACTTTTAGAGGAAGGTGTATGGGCCTCTGAAGCTTAGGAGACATTGGTGGGTGGGGGTACACCAGGCTTCCTGTTAACCCAGTTTCTCCAGTGAACATGTGAACTCGCTGACCCCGGTTGGAGCGCCCAACCCCCCCCAGCACCGCCCACTGACCTTCTCCAGGCGGTACACGAGCTTCTTGGTGGAGAGCTGGATGAGCGGCGCTATGAACTCACAGATGATATCCACGGTCATCACCAGCCTGCGCTCCCGCTGGGCCCCGATGATGGCCTGGCACACCAGCTTCTCCTTGACCAACTGCAGAGGAGAAACGCCAGCATTGTGAGAACTTCCACGGCTCAGAAAACGTAGTTCCAAACAACCAGCAAACGGACGCTCAGCTACCTGCTTGCGGACCCCAGGGAAGAACACGGGTCTCTGAACAGTGCCTTTCAGGTGCCGCTCTCTGTGTCACACTTAAATGGCTGATAGGCTAACTATGTCCTGGATGGATCCTGTGTCCATTTCTAACTGCTCTCGGGGACACAAATCAATTTACATTCAGCTCAACGAATATCTGTATGGAAGGTGTATTATGTATGAACTGTCAGGATTGGACATACCAACCAGTGATGGGCAGAGGAGATAAAATCCTATGGGATTAGAGTTCAAAGATAGCTCTATTTCTTATCAAGCTGGTCAGAAACTGTGGCTAAAAAATGTTGCTATAGAAATATTTCAAAATCGTGCTATAGAAACTAGTATTTCTTTGATCTCCCCTGAGGTCCAGATTTGTATAAAGTAGAAAGAACCCAAAGTGAATTTATATCATGAATAGCTCGCATTGAAGCTTGCTCAGGTTTCAGATGTGAATGAATTCAACTCTCTCTTAGCGAAGCTGACACTGGATTTAGAACCCTCGCAGCTCAGGCTGAATGCCTTTGAAGATATGGTCAGCTGCCCATCGTGACACTGTGACTGTGCTCCTGTCGGGTCTTGAAAGGAGGGCTGCATTTTAGTCACCTTTGCACCCTTGGTGCCTAGCGCAGTGTGCCACATGGTGCACACTCAGGAGAAGGTGGCTGAACCCGAGGAGCAGAGACCAAGGCCACCTTATACACTCACTCCACAGGGAAGCAGTGGACAAGCTTTGCTATCCTGCCTGCTGGAAGGTGAATTTCTTATTGTTTCCCATTTCCTGAGGAGAAAACTCAGCCTCACCTCCTAATCTGGTGACACCAGGCGGAGCTCAAGCAAGCATCAGTCCTCACTCACAAAGTCTGCTTTTGTGAGGTAGGAGAGGCTCATGAGCGATTACAAAGATTTTGTTGTTTGTTTTAGGTTTCTGGTGGTTTCCAGTCTCCGTGAGGGAGTAGGAACAGACAGAGAAGTGGTTTGGATCTGCATAAACGTTTAAGCAGAATGGCGATGACGTAAATAAGAGCAGAACAGCAGAGCTGCTGAAGAAACATGCAGCTCTTTCACTGACCCATAAGAAGATGATGATTATGCCGAAACCGGTTTGGCTCAGTGGATAGAGCATCGGCCTGCGGACTGAAAGGTCCCAGGTTAGATTCCGGTCAAGGGTATGTACCTTGGTTGCGGGCACATCCCCAGTAGGGGGTGTGCAAGAGGCGGCTGGTTGATATTTCTCTCTCATTGATGTTTTTAAGTCTCTATCCCTCTCCATTCCTCTCTGTAAAAAAAAAAAAAAAAATCAATAAAATATATTGAAAAAAAGAAGATGATGATTTTAAGTGTGATACTGCTACGTCAGACTGAGGGGAGAGGAGACTGGGATGCTCTGATACCTGGGTGGGAACGGCAGCCCAGAGTGTCTACAAATACACCCTTTGGAATGCATGTGAATACGGCTAACTGCACCTGGGAGGCCTGGCTTGGGCTGAAGGCTGGCTCTCCCTCTCCCACAGACTTGCTGGCTGGCCACTGCTGACCCTGGGGACGAGAAGCCGCTTTAATTAGTGTTTTGAGGATGGGTTCGTGGCAGCTGTAGAAGCAAACATAAAAACAGCAGCGCCAAGCCGTCACAGCGATGGGTGCTGCCATGGCAACTCGGGGCCGTGCGCTGAAGAAACCACATCCTTTCTTCGGATAAATGTCAAGGAACTCGCCTAAGACGCAGAGCAGAGATTTACTTAGGAGAAAGACAGGTTCTAAACATGCTGTCCCCGTACCCTGGGAGTAGCAGAGTAGCCATCAAGTGTCACATCGATCGTCTGGTCTGGATACAGCTCCATCCTGACGGGCTGGAGCTGAAACACGGGGCTCTGGGAGCGGTTGACTTCATGGGAGCCGGGGCGCTTGGCGAGTCTCCTCTTAGCTGCACCCTTCTTGCTGGGCTTGTTCTCGGGGTGGAACCTTTCATTCATCCAGAACAGCTGGTGGACCCGACGTCCCTTGTTGGTCAACTTGAAGTGGTAGTAGCAGGTGTCCAGGCTGGAAAAGAGGCAGGTATTGAGAGGACTCATTTGGGATGCTCTGTTCAGCTCTACACTTTGGGATGGACTCCTCTGGAAGTATTTGAAGAGTGAGCAATAAGTAGACAACTTTTTTCAATGTAGGAAGGCTGCATCGTGGTACTGCTCACGGCCCCCCCTAAACTCGAGTCAGGGACCTGAGTGTGGTCCCTGAGTTGTCCTCCCCAGGGAAGGGGGCGTGGGAAAGTGGTCCCACCCATCCTCTGCCTTTCCTAGCAGGTCGAGTGTGCCGCAGAACACACGGATGCAGTTCATGTGAAAACCACTCTAATTTATGACAAATGGCTGTGAAGAGAATTACAGGAAAGGAAAAGCAAAAATGCCTATTGGAGGAGAAGTGTATTTCAAATTGTGTGGAGTAAGTTCCTATGGACTAAGGGAAATGTCTTGTGATGGGCTCAGTTTGAAGGGTACTTTAGAGAGAAACGACCAACTTATTCGCAGTACATCTTTCAATCATCACAGCAACCCAGATATACCAAGTATTATTTGCTCACTTTCTAAATGAAGAAATGGAAGCTCTGAAAATGTAAGTAAGTTGCCCCAAAACATGCAATCAAAAGAGATGGCATAGGTTTTTTGTTTGTTTGTTTGTTTTGTTTTTGTTTTGTTTTGGACCTTTATGTCCCCAAATTGGCAAACTTTTCTGCTAAAGGCTGAATAATAAGTATTTTGGATTTTGGGGGCCACATGGTCACTGTCAGAGCTACTCAACTGTCCACTGCAGTGTGAAAGCAGACACAGAAAATATGTGTACACAAATAGGCATGGCTGTATGCCAATAAAACTTTATTTACAGCCTGGCTGGTATGGCTAAGTGGTTGAGTGTAAACTTAAGAACTAGGAGGTCCCTGTTTGATTCTTGGTCAGGGCACAAACCGGAGTTGTGGTCTTGATCCCCAGTGTGGGGTATGCAGGAGGCAGCCAATCAATGATTTTCTCTCATCATTGATGTTCCTCTCTCTCTCTCTCTCTCTCTCTCTCTCTCTCTCTCTCTCTCTCTCTCTCTCTCTCTCTCTCTTTCCTCTCTCCCTCCCTCTTCTTCCTATCTGAAATCAATAAAAATATAAAAAAGCCTTTATTTACAAAAACAGCCCATCTCTTCCTTTTTCCCCTTTTAAAAATGTAACGTAATTTAATTTAATTTTTTCATCACCTTTTATCCCCTCTATGCCATCTACCACCCTCTATGTCCTCTGCTTTTGACAATTCTTTTGGAGATTGCTGGCATCATGATTTTATGTCAAAAAGAATGGTAGGATTTAGGCAGAAGGGAAATTGACAGCTAAGAAGCCACAATTGGCTTCTGTATTCATAGAAAACTATAGGCTAAACCTCCCAGTTCCAGGCAAGTGACAGAATACCCTCTGGGCTATTTGGCCCTGTTTGTAGATTAGAGAGAACACCATGTAATCAAGTTGGGTTTGCAGCATACTGTTTCTATAATTATGTTTGAGTATACTTAGAGAAATGTGAAAATAGAAGCATGCTCTAGCGTACGGTCAATAGGCAGAAAGGAGCATTTCTATATCTCGTTAACACAAAACTCAAACGGATGCTTCTCAGAAAGCATAATTCCTAGTGGCTCATGCTATTTTCAATTGAGTCATGGTTTGTAGATGAACAGAGGAAAAGGGGGTGTGAATGGGTTTGTGGGGAGGGCTCCTCACTGATTTTTTTTTTTGGGGGGGCTCATCTTCTCTCGGCACGTGTGTCCATCTTGGTTGCGGGGCCTGTTAGACCAGAGGCCTGTTCACAGTATCACGATGGACAGGCACACATCCCTCTGGCCCCTGCCGCTGGGGAGCCATGAATGACTCCCCACACACATCCTCCCGTCGGCATTCAGACTTCATACGTTTTTAGAGCCACATTTAGGTCATTCTGCTCAGAGGTGTCTATAGTCTACCACCTTTTATTGAAATATTGAGATGTTCTAGTTTTTTGGTTCCCCCCCCCCCCAAAAAAAAAAAATCAGGTAGAGCCAATTGCAGCCCTCTTGATAGTTGGTGCTATAGTGGGGAGGCAAGCAGAAGACAAAACACCAAAAAAGTTACTGCTTTGCAATTCCTGATAAGAAACATTTACAGTACATGTTTACCTTCCTAGTTATACTCTTACTTAGGTTACCACTAAGATGCAACTGTATTTTGGACCTGCACGGAGAGGGATTAAGAGCATTTTGAAATAAAAGAGGAGAAATCATGGTTGAGATTCTAAACCAGTCACCGAGAAGGCACTGTGAGAGAACAATGCACTGCCTATGAACTATCTCTTCTCAGCTTGAGAAAGCAACCAGGCTGTGACTAGGGGTGTCTTCTGATGGCTGTTGCGCCCATCTGGAGGGGGACAGTGAAGATAGGAAAGTGGGAGGATGGAGGTTAGTGCAATTTACTTAAAAGCAGTTTTCTAAAATAGAGGTGATGCTCAGCTTATGCCAACATAGGCGACATCTATGAAAATTCATCCAGGCCGAAACCGGTTTGGCTCAGTGGATAGAGCGTCGGTCTGCAGACTGAAGGGTCCCAGGTTCAATTCCAGTCAAGGGCATGTACATTGGTTGCGGGCACATCCCCGGCAGGGGGTGTGCAGGAGGCAGATGGACAATGTTTCTCTCTCACCAACATTTCTAGCTCTCTATCCCTTTCCCTTCCTCTCTGTGGAAAATCAATAAAATATATTAAAAAAAAGAAAAAAAAAAAAAAAGAAAAGAAAGAAAGAAAATTCATCCAGGAGGTTCCCCTACCTAAAATGTGCTCCCAGGTTGAGTTCTGGAGCAAAGGGCTTATCCGAAACAATGGTGGAACCAATTCCTAGAGCTTGGACGTGAATCCGGTAGGTGTTGCTGTTTTTAATTTCCAAAATGACCGTGTCTTTGAACATAAGTATGTCATTCAGGTTGGCGGTCAGTGTCAGCTGGATATCATCTTCCGGGGGAATGGTGCCTTCGCTGGGCGCCACCGTCCAGAGGGACTTTTTGTGTGCCTGCAACACAAGATACACGGTCACAGGAGGCTATTCCTGGCTTTCCCTTCTGCATGTGCCAAAGCCGTCTGCCCTTCAAACAGCCGGCACCGTGCAGCTCAACATCAAACATTATCATTTTTTTTTTCAAATCAAAGCAGCTGGGCGTTTGTTGGCTTCTCTCTTTTTTGCAAAAAGCAATCTGATTCCAAAGAGCAAGCCTACAATTCGGCTCTTGAGGGCTCGCGAGGATCCTTTACATCGCTTTCGCTAGATGCCAGCCCAGCTCTCTAACAAGCTGGTCCTAATTATCTGTTTTAATCACCAAATTCTGATACACTTGCAGAAGGTACAACATCCTTTCTGGAATACGGAATTTTCCAGAGACAAGTTTTGCAAATGCAAGGTTTTGGTGATGTTATTAGTGAGCAGGAACAGCTTTTGTGAATAAACACAGTATAGGAAGTCGTCTCGATTTCCATTATTCCATAATAATAAATAGAATTTCATTTGCTAAAATTCCAAACTTATTGTGAAATATATAATAGGAGGTGGAAATTATAGAGGGGAAGCTGACTCTTACTAACCTGTTCCCTTGAACCAATTAGATCCTCATAGCTCACTCGCTTTCCTCCTGAGGGTTTTGGCTAAACACTACCTCTCAATGAAGCCTGCTCTGACCGTCAGCTTTTAAATGGGAAACCTTCCCTCTGTACTCCTGCTCCGCTTTACCCAGTTCTATTCCCCCCTTAGTACTTACCATCTTCTAACATGTGCAGACTTGACTTATCTATCATGCTTGTCTTGGTTTGAAAGTCTATATGGACACTAATAGATTGTATTTAAGTAAGTTAAACGAAACAAAGGAGAACAATTCTCAAGATGACACATTATTTATAATGAGGATGTAGATAAAATTTTTCTTTAATTTTGGTATTAATGGAAGTGATAGATTTAATTCTATGTCAAGAGTCCTATCATTACTCCTGAGCTTTTAATATGGGGCGTCTCCAGAAACATAGACATAAGAGAAAAACAGCATTAAGTTCTATCCACTAGATAAACTAGGGCTGAGATGGGATATTTGTATGATAATTAGATCTATTCCAAAAATGTTTGTGGGGGAAAAATGTTGATTTTTGTAGTATTCAATGTTTTCCTAAAATTTTCTTTCTATTCACAGTAAGTTAGCCCTTGTTAAGTATTAAAATAAGAAAACAGAAAGCAAAGTCTATCTTTCCAGAATATTATGCTGTATTTGTTTAAAATCTTATCTTAAAATATTAACAAGCCCTGCTCAGTGTGCTCAATGGTTAGAATGTCAGCCTCCGTACTGAAGGGTCATGGATCGATTCCTTATCAAGGTCATGTATCTGAGTTCCACCCCCAGCCCGGGTTGGGGCGAGTGTGGGAGGCAACCAATTGATGTGCCTTTCTCATATCAATGTTTTTTCTCTCTTTTCTCTTCCTCCCCCCCCCCCCCCCGCCCCCCGAGATGTCAGGCTGCTCTCTGTCTATGAGTCTGTCTCTATTTTCTGCACATTTTCTTGAATGGATCAATGTAGCTTCATTTCATCAGCATTTTTATCAGAGTACATGGAGTTTTTGACTTATACCATTTATATGACTGAAAGCAACATGGAAATGGCTTTCTCATGCTTGAGGAACCAGCCTTTCTCCTTGCTTAGAACTATTTGCCTTTCTTACTTTCAGCTTTTACAATAGATTCTAGGCTACTCTTTTAGATAAAGTTATCCTAGCTGCTATAACAACAACAACAACAAAAACCCTGATGCTCAAAGGCTTACTACAACAGAAATTTACTTCTGGTTCACATGAATTCCAAATGGTTCCAGGCATGAGAATGGGCTCTGGTTCCATTCAGTCATGCAAGGACCCCAGCTAAACAGATTCTGGCATGTGTAGTGTGTGGCTTCTAAGCCACTCTGGACATTGCCATTCAGTGGGCCAACGAGAAAAGGAAGAGAATGGGGATTGGGAGGGTTACATGCTAAGATTTTATGCACCAGGATTTGAAGTGGTACACAACACTTCTTCCCACTTGCACTGTCCAAAACTCAGTCGTACCCACACACATCTAACTGCAAAGGAGTCTGGGAAATGTTTTGTTCTGGGTCCAAGAATAAAGGGAGGTGGGCATAGGGAACTGCTAACTTCTCTCTGCCAAAGCTACCTTGTTGGTTCGGTCCCCCACCATATCCTTAGGCCTTCCCCTAACTCCTCTGGATCTCAGATTCCAAACGGTGAAGAGCTCACGCCAATCAGAAAATTGAAGTGGGAGCATAACTTGAAGTTTCCAATGGGAACTTCAGGGCTGGAGCTCAGATCCATCTGCTGCTAGGACAACTAGAGGGGCAGCTGGAGGAGAAAATAAGAATGTTCTAGACAACATAGTCTCACACTGTTGGCCTTTCTTCCCAAATCTGCGGCCTGAGAGCACTCTATGTAGTTTTGCTCATTTATGGGACTCAGCTTACAATTAAAACATAAATCAATGCCATGTTTGTCCTTTTATCAAAAAGCAGATGCCTTTCAGAAGAGGGTGCTGTCAATGTCACCTTTCCCATTCTATTTATTTTCCTCCTCGAGACAGTGGCGCAGGTCAGTGAGGAGAGGGTGTCACCTGCATACGTGCTATTTCCAGCCAGGGGACATCAGTTTTCGGCAGATGCACAGCATTTCTATTCTGACTCCAGCAGACACAGATTGGCTGCTCTGGGAAGAAGACCTGAAGTTGCTCTCCAGAATTGGTGAGTATTATTTTTTATGAAGTGTATTAATCAATGTCTGGCATAAAACAAGGCAGCAAAGTATATCATAGAATCCAAGAACAAGGCACATTAAAATGCCAGCGGCCACACACCGGGTATCTTTATCACGAGTCAGGCTCCAAATCATCCTAACACCCTGTGTCTCTCTGGTATATGACTTTTTTTTTAAAGGGAGGATTTGGTCTGTGTAACATTTTCTGTTATTAGATGGCAAATTTGACTAAAGAAGGAATGGATGAGTGACAATCAGCATAGCTATGCAGGATTTTCAATAGCCTTTTCAAAACAGCAATAGAGCAAGACAACAAGTTATAGAAACCGGTTAGGAAGGAGGGCTCCAAAGGAAAAGAGATGAGGGTTTGAGTCCCAGACCTGCCACTTGCCAGCTGTCAAATGTGGGCCACGTCACTTAGCCATGCCCAGCCTCAGTTTCCTCATCTGTAGCCCATGATACTGACTGCACCTTTTGCACAGAGTTGTGGTGACGGTTAAATGAGGTGGTGCATGTAAAACTCAGAATGATGTCTGGGACACGGTTAAGTCCTCATAAAAATGACAGCTATTATCATCATTTTACCAAACGCTGTCATCAACCCATGTGACACATAATTATGGACTCAGAAGTATTTGCTAAAAACAAAAAACAAAACAAAACAAAAAAAAACCCTGAGAAAACAAAGAAGATGCCAGGGAAGCAATACCCTTGCCAAGAGAGAATCATAGCATTGGGTTTATGGGAAGCAGAATTCTGAGACAGCCCACACGATCCCCATCTCCTGGTGCATAGCTACCTTCTCCCGGTTATTTAATCCAAGGCTAATCTAGGTGCGACTGTGAAGGGATTTTTTTGGGGGGTGGTGGTTAGATATTTATGTCATTTATAGATTAACCTCCTTGATAAGACTAGTATCCACCTGACACCATACATAATTATTACAATATTAGTGACTATATTCCTATGCTGTTCTTTATATCCCTGTGACTATTTATTTTGTAATCACCCATTTGTACTTAACCCTTTTTCATCTAACCTCCTAACTCCCCTCCCAGCTGGCAACCCCCAGTCTGTGCTTCTGTGAAGGGATTTTGCAGATGTAGTTAAGGTCCTAAGAGTTGATGTTAAGGTGAGGGGGTTATCCTCAGGGGGCCTCACTCAACCAGGAGAGCCTGTCGAAGGGCCTGGCTTTGACAGGCTCAAAGGGCTTGGCCCAAGTTCGACAGCTGGCAAGTGGCAAGTCTGGGACTCAGACCCTCATCTCTTTTCCTTTGGAGCCCTCCTTCCTAACCTGTTTCTGTCACTTGTTGTCTTGCTCTATTGTGGTTTTTAAAAGGCTATTGAATATCCTCCATTGCTGATTATCACTCATCCATTCCTTCTTTAGTCAAATTCGCCATCTAATAACAGAAAATGTTACACAGACCAAATCCTCCCTTTAAAGAAAGTCATATACCAGCCGGGACCGGTTTGGCTCAGTGGATAGAGCGTCGGCCTGCGGACTGAGAGGTCCCGGGTTCGATTCCGGGCAAGGGCATGTACCTTGGTTGTGGGAACATTCCCAGTAGGAGGTGTGCAGGAGGCAGCTGATCGATGTTTCTCTCTCATCGATGTTTCTAACTCTCTATCCCTCTCTCTTCCTCTCTGTAAAAAATCAATAAAATATATTAAAAAAATAAAAAATAAAGAAAGTCATATACCAGAGAGACACAGGGTGTTAGGACGATTTGGAAGAGCTTATGGAAGAGGCCACCCGGTGGGGAACTGTGGGTGGTTCGATAGCATCGGGGGCAGGCCTTGGCTGACCGCTAGCAGGAAAATGGGGCCTCAGTCATTCCACAGACAATGACCTGCAGGGCCTGGAAGTGGATCTTTCCCCAGTTTAGCCTCCTCAAAGGAACGCAGCTGGGCAAACACCTGAGTTCAGCCTTCTGCGATCCTTCTGGCTGGAGAGGAGCCAGCCAAGTCATGCCTGGACTTCTGACCCAGGGAAACACACACTCATGTTATTTCAAGCCACTAGGTTTGCAGTAATTTGTTACACAGCAATAGAAAACTCATGCAGGGTGGAAAAGGCGAAGGGGCTGAGAAGTACAGATTGGTAGTTACAAAATAGTTTTAGAGGAAATAAAATCCTATGTAATAAAGAGCTAATATGCTAATTAGACCAGACAGCAGAACAACTTTCCGAAACGACCTTCCAGACAACGTTCAGGAACGACCAGTGAGAGGGG